GCAATTTGGGTCAACACCTAAAACGGCAACTGGCTTTAACCTTTTATCCAAGTCCTAAAATTTAATTTTTTATTGCTTAATGCAGAATCGTAAAATTTAGTACATGAGGAAACTCACGAATTAACCATATGCTTTTATGTTTGTTTCATCGAATACAACAAAGCACACAAAGCAGATTAAATTGTATGTAGTCAAATATAAGAATAATCTGAGGGTAATATATAATTGGTTCCAGATTCTAGAACCCTAAATAGCATTTAAAAAGTCTGAACAAATATAGGAAGATTATTTGCTTGCTAAAAACAACTCACTACTTTAGTTGGGATACGTTATTTGAAAAGATCCCAATTACTGAATCTGCAATTTCTAGAAGATAAACATAAATTCGATTACAAAATCATATTTGTTATGTGAGCGATTGAATTGCATTATTCAATATATTTCCTAGAAAATAATGACTTATATTTAGGAGCTTAATAAAACGAAAATTTCTAAGACTGAATTTAATGGTATGACGGTCTGTTGAGAAAATTAAAGCATGAAAATAAATCAGTATTATTTATCCTTACTGAGAAACATTGTGTAGAGAAATTAAAATTTATATTTTACTCGAAGCGTTACGATTTATCAGAAGTACGGAAATTTTTTTTTTAAATAAACAAACTTATGCTTAATATATACAGGACGGGCTTTTCTATTTTGAGAAAACAATTTTACTTTCGAAGGCTTTGTTACTGAAAGCTTACATTTTAAAGTCGTTCGCATTTTGTGGAAATGATTTTCATAATTAAATTTTTGTATAAAAATGTATTTTTTGCCACGATTTGTTCTGGATTTTTGGCTATAGCTCTAGTTTGAATTTTCCATAAAAATAAGCTTTTTCTTAGTACCGTCATGTCAATTTTATTCCCTCTTGAATTGTTTTTCAAAGTCCGTTCAGTTTTCTTGGATACCATATTAAGACTCGTTTTAACAGTCAGACACACAAAAATGAAGCACAAGAGACCACAGGAGAGGGGTCAAGTAATTTTACAGATATTTAATTAAATTTCACTAATTAATTTACTCTTGTTTCTGGTCATTTCTTTGATAAATAAGCGGAAGTTGACTTTGAGATTGTATTATCCACATAAAGCTCAAATTTGTTGATCTCTTTTCCATGTAAGAGTGAACTTTCGCCTCCTAAAATTGGTTCTGAAGTATTCTTTTGATAGTATAGTAAATTAATTGTAGCCTCACTTCAGACATTTTTGACTTTTAATATACCATTGTAACAAAATTCTCCAACTATCACGAATCCCTTTGGGAGCTTTTTGGAACATGGAAGAAGCCATTTTGTTCGCCACTTTCTTCAGCTGAGCAATAAAAAAAATTGATATTTTTTTATTACATACTCATGTTTCATTGAGTGTTACCACAAATTTTCATTCATCACATGCTTTATAGGGTTAAGGTTAAGAGATCTGGCTAGCCAAATCAATGCGGCGAATATCCTCACTTTCCAGGTTATCGTCGACCAGCTGAGCCCTATGTGGATGAGAGTTCCCATCCATTAATAGGAACCTAGGACCAACTACGTCACTGAATATTATAACATAAGGTTCTAAGATCTCCTCTCTATAAGTAATAGCAGTCAGGAAGCCTTTGGAAAACACATGCAGGAATGTGTGTTCAACATAATTGTCGGCCCAAACCATTACGCCTCCATCACCGTAATGGTCCCTTTCCTTGATGAGGCTGAGGCAGGAATGATATCGTGTTTTCTCCAGGTACAGATACGTGAAGAATCAGTGTGCAGATTCAATCTCGACACGTTCTTCAACAACAAGCATCTATGTCCTTGGATCTTCATGCTATAAATAGCATGAAGATCCAAGAAAGTCTGGTACAAGGCACATGTTGTCTGCACCAGGCTAAACGGGCTATCTTGTGTGCTGCAGCGAGAGAGACACAAACAGAGGGTCTTTTGGCATACAGCCCTACCTCATAAGTCTTCGGGCAACTGCAAACTGAGGAATTCGTGGTTACAGTGGTAACATACAGCTCACGTGAGAGCCGTGAATCTGTAGCAGTCCTATCTTCGCCGCCCTGAAAGTGCCAAATAACGATCCTCGTTTTTAGTTGTGGATGACTCATTGAGCTTCCTGTACCGCCATTAGAGGCTTAATAGGGCTTAATGGTGCTATTTATATAAAGAAACGTGGAAATCTAAAATAAGACCTAAATTAGGTCCAAAAGCAGCAGGAAAACCACCATACTACCTGAAATAACTTTATATAAAATTAACAATTAAAATATGAACTTAAAGTCTAGAATCTGGTGAAATTTACCAGCTACACCAACAAATAACACATTATTACATACTTTGTAAAACAAAATGTAACACATATGCTCACCTGCATAAAAATATGTTACTAACAGGATATCATAAACACCCTAATATTTCTGAGAAATTTTTAAACACAATCAATATATAAATTCGTTTCATATACAGATACATATTTTATCAAATTTGAAAATTTCAAATTAGTCAATGTACTTTACATAGATCCTTTAGAGTTTAGTTTAGTTTAGTTTACGAGTATGCTGCAACCCTCCTGGCCGACAGTAATCGGCCTCATGATTAACGCAGCACACCCGACGCAGAAAAACAACAACAACAAATAATAAGAATAATAGAATAAATACATAATAAAAGATTAAAATATTTAAAGTCCTATTCCTATGATAGTCTTATTTTCATTCACAATCCTCATAATTTCTTTTGCATAGCTATTCAAGAATTTTCTTTTTTCAATTACATTTTGTTCATTTATTTTTCCAAATCTCGTCCTCACGCTCTCGGTCAGTTTACATTCTTCCATAAAATGAGCTGCATTTCCGTACTTTCCACAAGCCAAGCATTGATCATTGCCCTGGAGATTAAATCGTTTTAAATAGGCCGGGAATCTACCATGATCCGTGATAACTTGAATAGTATCTATATTATTAAATAGATCCATTTTTCTTTTTATGGTCAAAATCCTCAAGTAACCTTTATTTTTATTTGAACCATTCCATTCCCGAGCACATTTCAATCCTTTAGAGATCCTTCAGAGTATTAAATTTAGCAATATCTGGAATAAATCTTAGAAAAATATTTAAGCATCTTGTGGCATGAGTAATGTGCTCAAGATCGACATTACTCATGCCACAAGGATAGGCCTAATTTTTAATCGAAAACCTATTATAATAAAATGGGAAATGGCCATGATTAGTTAAAGCTTTGTTAAGATACTTATCACTTAGACATCTTCTCTCACTTTCAAATGATATTAAATTATATGTGAATCTTCCTTTAGATTCTGGGTTGTTCCACTTTGCTTGCCAAAGAGTCAAACTTTTTCTTTTCAACAAAGATTTCAAACTGTCAAAGGAAGTCTTTACCTCAAAATCAATAATTTGATTTTCAGTGTCAGCCTTTGCCAATCCATTCGCTAACTCGTTACCTATAGTCCCAATATGACTCTTCGTCCAAAACAGTTTAATATCTTTGAAAGCGCTAAGAAAAATGAGTATATCTTTTATCTGTATAATTAAATCGTTACTTGGACAAACATCCGTGATTGAAAAAATTGCGCTTTCGCAGTCGCTATAATTTTCTACAGAAAAGCCAATATAAGGCCTCTCGCAGAGCTACTAGCTCTGCCTGATAGACAGAGGCATTGCCAGTTGTCCTAGTTGTGGATGTTAGTTGACCTTATCTAGGTCTTCTCGATATGGGTTCAGTATCCTGAAACTGTTTCCACAAATTCCAGATGACACTGGGCTTTGCATTTAGCTCTGTAGCCACCTACACTTGTGATTAGCCTGCCTTCAATCTACCGAAAATTCTGCATCTCATTCTCTCATCATACGTCCGTGGGCACTTATTTTACCTGATATCTTATGAATTTTACCCAACTTATGCGAGAGTATGAGCATACAAATCGCCGAAAACCGCTGTGCGATGACATCCTCTCAGTAATCACGTGTACGTTTAAGTATTCGACTGAGAATATTTGCATAATTCTTCGAAGGCATAATTAATACCGCTGGTTTTCTACATTTCGTAAAAATAGGCATAATTTGCAAATTTTGTTTATTTTTCCCACGAGTGTAATTTACTTCCTTAAAATGTATTTTACATTGACATTCCTCGAGACTGGGTCTCCAAATCTTTTTATTAATACCTCGAGAAAGCTGTTATTTTTTTCACTGTATAAATTTCGTGTCTTGAGAAAATGAAACTTTTGCCACTTTACTGATGCAAATATTTTTTGCAGGTCTGGAAAAGTGATACGCTGAAAAACACAGTAGTTTTTAAATAATTGCATCTTTTCTTTATTAAATAAGTGCAAACGTTTCCATATGGCAAAAATTTAATAATAATATAGCAAGTGATTTTCCGCATTGTTTGGAACTGCTATTTTTAACAGCTTACTTAAAATATATGATTTTGCATTATGTGCCTTTAATGTCTGAAGATTATTTGTTAAATCAGTGGGCCTATCATAATCTTAAATTGCTTGAAGCGTTAAACTGAAATCTGTAATTTAAAGTTTTCAATTTGCAATATATATTTTTTCCTATGATAACTGAGATAGCAATAATCGGATCAATTTCGAAATAAGTCTGAATAAAGAGATTTAAGAATAAAAACAGTAACTGTATAATTTCCAGTTATGCAATAAATTTGATTAATTTGAGGCACAAGATATTTTAAAGCAGACTGAAAATTGTGTAGAAATCAATAAAATATTTATTTCATGAGTCTAAATTAAATTTTGAATTCAATAATAAAATAATATACCTAAATCTTTCAGTTCAAAAGTTCCTCTATTTAATATATCTATTCCTTTTATTAAAAAGATTTCCGAAACTGAAACATGGATAAACCCTTAAACTGAAGTATTATTGAAGTCTGATTGAATTATTGATTGTACCAGAAATTGGAGATGTAATAGCAAAAGCTGACTTACGTATACATCTCAGATCCAGTCCGTACCACTGAGTAGTTCCATTGAAAAATAAGCATTTAGCCTTGGAATACCCATGAGGATCATATCCGTTGAAGCAATTGTACTGTACCACTTCGTCTACGTCAAATTCTGCTCCGGGGCTATCTGATGCATTACGGCGAGAATGAGGCACATGTGGTGGGGTACCACACATTGCTAATTAAAAGAAAAATAAATAATTAGGAAAAATATTAACATAAATAATTAGGAAAAATACAATGAGCAATTCAATAACATTGCTAAGTATTTTTTTAAAGAAATTGATAATGAAAAGTATTAATACATTACTGGACAGGGTGTAATGAAAAGTACTTTTGTGAAGAAATTGATCAGGAACCGCTTCTCGAACTCTTTAGAGCTGATATTAGAAATGCTTCTGATGAATCCTTATAGTATTGTGTAGAGATATTAGGAAATTTTTTTTAAGCAGAAAATGTGAAAAATGAGCAATTGAATTGCCGAGACTCGAACCTGGACCTCTCGAATACGCGCCAAGTGTGCTACCATTACACCACGAAGGCATGCAGAAAGGCGGGGGAAAACGTAGTAATTGTGTCGTGTTATGATTCACTACGTCTAGGAAACCACCGTTCTTTCGGATTTTTCTTATCGGGCCTAGCAAAGTCCCAGCTTAGAACACTTCTACTATTTATGCATAAAATATTTGATTTCCTATCAAATTGGAAAGGTAAAATTTGAGCCATTGCGGGCTTGAAATCTGCCAGGAAGAATAACAAAATCAGGGCCGAAGGTAATCAGCATCCACAATGTACTGAATAAAACAGTAGGCAATAAAACAGGAACTCTTCTTCCATATAAACATGTTCTACGAAACACATCGTATAGCAAATAACCAAATGTGACATCAGAAATAAAGGAATCTCATGCCCCCTAAAGCCTACAACCTCTTCCATTCAAACTCAGCATTGTACTAACGGCCCCATGGTGGGGTTAATTCTAAAGATTGTTAGTGTCCTGGGGTGTCTTGTGCATTCCAAGGTGAACTTTCTGGTGCCCCACTCACTTCTACTACTCTGTAACAAACTGAGAGACTTAAAATTAATAAACGTACGTCTCATAAATGTCATTAACATTTTACATCATTAGATTTGGCAATAAAATGCATATGTTACCTATTACTTCTGTTACTAATTCACCAGATTTTTCATGATAAATATTTCATAAACGTTATTTTCAACTCTTCAGGAGAGTATTTGGTGTTAAATTTGATATAACTAGTTTATTTTTCTGCTACTAAATATTAATTTTGATTTTTAATGTATAAATATTTCCGTTCTCTACAAATTTTGTCGTGAATTCTAGCTTAGTTTGCTGGCTTAATTTAATTTGATACCCGTATTAGACAGAATACCATGAAAATTACATCACTTGAATAATTTGACCTTTCTTTAAAATATCAATTGAAGAATATCCACAGTACGTCGAAACTTTTACAACAGATGAAATCTTAAAGTCTTAGACTTTAGGTTAATTCTTACTTAAATCTAAACGCTTTGGACTTTAGTTTAATTCTTACTTATTTCTGTTTAAATAATACTTTTTAAGGTATTATGAATCCCTATTGTACGTGCTTTTAGGGTGTAGTAGTTAGTAACAAGTGGAAGATTAGGTGGTTCAATTCTGAGCGAAGAAGTTGAGTTTTTAGGCTACCCGCTGCATAAACCTTAGCAATATCTGAAGAAGTTTCCAAATTATACTACGGTGAGCGATGAATCATCGCAACTTAGATTTGGCTGACTAGGTCTATTCTCTTTCTCCAGTCAACTTTTAAAAGTATGTGTAGGAATTTAAAAAAGTATGATATCAATCCTATGTCTGGCATTGTAGTTTAGTGTAGCATATCCAGCTGACAACTTGAAGAACTTTAATTCGATTAGCAGTAAGAAAGCAGTTCATCTTCCTTATTTCCCGCTTATAGCCTCTACAACCTTATTATAATGTAATTTTTGTAGCAGGAGGTATCAAAATTTATCATTTTATAACTTTCTTTTTCGATTTAGTAAAATATTGCCTTCATTATAGAATAAAATGGCTGGGCTGTTTTAGTGAGTTAAGCCATACTTATTTTCTTCTGCTCTTCTAGCAGCAACTATCTCATTTAAACCTCCCGGCTTTTCTACCTGATGCTGATAATAACGGAAAAAGTTATCAAGAAACATATTCATGAACTAGCTACAAGAAATGACAGCCTAGACACAATCTATCAGCTATCAAAGAAATGTGCATCTACGAATTTCGTCTTCCTACTGCTGATGCATAAAATCGAAGTGAGTACGGTTTATCTCTAGCAAATGTTTAATTCACTGAACAGGTAATATAATTATGGTAAACATCTGGCCTCATTTTATGTTCCTGAGTGTTATCTGTAATACACAAGGAACATCAAATAGTCTGTTTATCTTATATAAAAGTTTCATTGTGAATGTTTTAGTGACTGGAATTTTCCTCTACTGAGATCCTGTGAAAAGTTACATTTTATATTAAAAACTCTCTCAATGAACTAAACCTATCCTTAAAAATTTCCCATCTTATTTTGAGGATGCAACTGGAGGTAGATGTTCAAACATTTTTCAAGGAGCAGAACAAAAAATTAGTAGCCAAAAATTACATAAATATTTTTTTTAATTTAATTATTTTAATTATGGGGTTTTAAAAATTATGAAATGCAGCAGTCGCATCAGTTTAAAAACACATGTACTACATATGCATCAGTACAAAAACGCATCTTTTACTCGATTTCGGAAAGGGTTTAAAAGTCCTCAATTACAGGAGGGGGGAATGATCGTTTATATTCTCCCTCCTGTGACACACAAAAGTTTCAATAGTTCAATTGAATCTTGAAAATAAATGTCAGGTTTGAAAACTTTTACATGTCATCTGAAATGTGTATTTTCTTTGCATATTTTTATTAATAAATGTGATTTACAGAGTAGAAATGCGTTAAATAGTTCAGCAGTTAGCATATTGCATTTTCCCTCTTCTTTAAAGATTTTAAGAAGAGTATAAAGCAGAATTACCAAACAAAATTTTCGGATTTTACATATTTATTATAAAAAAAAAGTGTCTTATTACTAACACTGTAGGTCGAAAATCTATTTCTTTGACTTATTTCTTTAACTGAAGTCATGGACATGTAACAAAACTTTAAAGGGACATCTAGCCGCGTACTTGGTTTGAATCACTCCATATATGCAGTTTCATTACCTTACAATTTGGTTCTTCTATAGTGAAAAGCTCTTCCTCGTAAATGTATAATGAATGCAATCTAGCTGGAACTACCAATCCATAAAAAAGTTTAAGTTCACCTCAATATGTTTTAAATTTACTTACAAGCGAATTGATTTAATAATGTTTCGTGATATAACTTACATCCTCTAAAAACATGCACGTATCTAAAAGTTTGCAAATACCTTTGTTGTTTGGTTAATAGTTTATGAATTTCATTACAGCAGAAGTACTCTGTTTATCGTTGGTCCTACATTACCTAAATCAAACTTGTAAGAGGGAAACTACTATTACTCATAATTTATGAGCAGAGAGTTTATGCAATTTGTTTAGAAACGATGGAATAAATACGTAAATGCCTTCTTAACAGCACGATTTTACGTTGAGCAGAAGGGAGCTACATTTAATTGATATGCCATACGTGTAATATACGACTATAATAAACTTGTGTAACTTGCAATCTGTAGCTCTGACCCACATTTACATTGTGAGGAGAAGTTAATAAAAGATTATTTCTGAGGCCATATATTATGTATCGAAAGAGAAAAACAAACTTCCCTGTAAAGGTTTTATCAATTAGAAATGTGGTATAATGCATTAGGAAATGAATATGAAACATAATGAATTTAACATATGACATTTATTTAAAAAAATTTAGGCACGAAATTACTTTAAAAGATCTATGCAATGTGAAATATATTTTAGCTGAATGTCCAATATTTACTAGAAAATACAAGCATCGTGAAAAGCTAACGTGTACTATGAAATCGCATCATATGTATAAAAATAAGCGCATACGTTGATTTTCCAGATAAAAAAAAAACCGTATATGAAGCAAAAACGAACAGACTGTAAAGCAGAATAATTTTTTATTTAGTAAGAAAAACGATCACACAATCAAGAAGAAAGCGCTTAAGGCTTTTATAAAATAACTATAGGGTAGCTTTAGAGGAACGGGAAAAAATAAAGCGTTGTCATGGTAGCCGACAGTCCCAGATGTAAAATAATTTTAACAAGAAGATTGACAAAAAATACGTCTTTCTTCTTGCAAAAAGCTTACAAAATTAAACTTCTATATTTTTCTGGCTCTTTTACTTAGTCACGTGATTTGTTTCTATTTGTTTTGTACTTTAAAATATGCAGTTTTACTGTTCTTTTTAACGTCCTATGATTTAAAGATAAGAAAATACAAATAGTTGTAGCCTTTCGAAGGACAATTTTATGATTTTTCAGTTTTACGCTTCCAAAAAATGCTGTGTATTCAGTTGAAATCGTTTTGAGAATTTTAAATTTTTACCATTCTATTGGTTAAGATTAACTGCTGTATTATTATACGGGTAATGCATACAATCAACGACGCTGGCAAGAATGTGTAGAATGCTCTTTCTTGCAGTACAGTAATACGTAACGAAAAGAAGAAAATTTAGAAAAAACGCTAAAGAACAGAAACAAATGGTACCTTCCAGAAACGCTGTCTGCCTGATGAACCTTCCGAAGCCATAGTGGTTCATGCAGCTCAATGAAGATTCGCCAAGACAGAAAGCTTCAAAAAGGGGCCATTGTATAAAAGTGTTTACAACTTCCCGAAAATCAGCTTTTAACTTGAAGAAAGAAATCATAATAAAAGTATCGGCACCATTGTGCAAAAGGAATTTTTTCTGTTGTTTTAATCAAAGACATAAGTAACTGAAACACTAGAAATAATGTTTAAAGTGTACAGTAACAGTGCTTTGATAGATAGGTAATAAAAATAAAAAAGATAAAAAATCTTTATAAAGGTTACTTTATTGAACTAAGAACTGGTCTTTATAAAGGTGCTGGTACATTTACCTTAGGCTCTCTTATGAGGTTTTCTTGTGAATGAATGAATGAGGCGAATTCTGATCTACCTGTAAGAGGTTATTGACGAC